CGGCTGTCTCCTCACAGGTTATATACCAGCCACAGGAGGCGGAGCCCAGCACATCCAAGTCAGAGAAGCTGGACCCACGACCTTTCCTGAGGGTGCTGGAGTCCATTGACAATAAGTACCCCCCTGAGGAGCGGGGCGACCTCCTCGTCTTCCTCAGTGGCATGGCGGAGATCAGCGCTGTGCTCGAGGCTGCCCAGACCTACGCCAGCCACACCCAGCGCTGGGTGGTGCTGCCGCTGCACAGCACCCTCTCTGTGGCCGACCAGGACAAGGTATCATCTGAAGCTAGGCAAAGTGGGACAGGTGGGGCCTAACTGTGTAGGCCCAGCAAGGAGGAGGGGGTCAGGGTGGCTGCACACAGGACTAAAAGGACCCCACCTTCGCAGAGTGGGCCACACTCGTGCAAAGGTACACCATCACCAAGTGGCAGATCCAAGCTGAGAGCCCGGGTCTTCTAGCCCCGGAGCACATGCTCTTAGCCAGAAGCTGGCAGACTCTATGTAAAGACCAGAGAGTACATGTCTTTGGCTTTGTGGTCTATAGGCCCTGGGTCATAGCTGCTCAGCTCTCTCCTAGCACCGAGATAGCAGCCACAGCTGAGCAGGGGAGACTGTTCCAGGGGAACTCGGTTTACAAAAGCAAGCGGCAGGCTGGCTGTGCCCCTGTTATTTATACATGCTTGACTGTCTCTTACCACTGAGAGAAGGGCTTGTGCAGAGAGCTTGTGGTGAGAGAAAGATGGGGCGCCTGGGAGACAACACGCAGTGTAGCTGGAGTCCAGATCATGGCAGGCAGTCAGGACAGGTGGACAGAGCTAGACTACACAGGACCTTGAAGACCCTGTGCATTCTTTGTCCCGAGGGCACTGGGGAGCCATGGGAGGGTTCTGAGTGGGGCTGACGGCAGTGCCAGGTTGTGCTTTAGCAGGTTCGTCTGGCTGCCCTGTGAGGGATGGGTTGGAGGGTGTGAGGTCGTAGTTCAGAGAGCAGAGAGGGAGCTGCAGCAGGACCAGAGTGGGAAAAGAAAGGAGGCCGGGGCAGGGTGGAGTTTGAGGAAGAGGGAGGGAATTCAGGAAATGTTCAAGATGTCCAGGAGCAGCTGAGGGGAGAGGGCCCAGAGAGGGCCCAGGACAGCCCAGGTGATGGGACAGTTGGTGTGCCATCTCTGAGCTGCAGATTCTGGAGGGGGAAGAGTTCAATGGAAGAAGCCGAGGTTGTCTCAGCACACGGGTGCGAGGCACCATGGAGCATCCGGGAGGCCACTGGGGCAGGTTAGTCCCTGCTACCACCTCCTCCGTTTCTCCAGGTATTTGATGTGGCACCTCCTGGGGTCCGAAAATGCATCCTTTCCACTAACATCGCTGAGACCTCAGTCACCATTGATGGGATCCGCTTCGTAGTAGATTCTGGTAAGGGCTGCCCTAACTCCCACCCACCATCCCAAGGACTTAGAAAGAAGGGTGGGGTGGAACCAGCAGATAGTGTAATGGTTACGTCACTGGATTTTCACGTGGCCAACCGTGGTTGAGTCCCTGAGCCAGAGGCTTGAAACTCATGCCGGTGCATGTGCACACCAGTCTCTCTCTGTCTTTCTGGAGAGCGCCTGTGCCCTATACCAAAATCTGCCCCCCCCAAAACAAAACAAAACAAAACAAACTTAAGTGCTGCTAATTAAACTTTTTATTTTTCTCTGTAGGGCATGTGCACTAGCCAGAGAGAGGGTGGGGGAAGTGAGGAATCACCCCATTTTTTTGAGAGATTTTTGCTATAGGACACATGCACTCGCCGGAAAGACAGACACAGAGACAGAAAGCAAGAAATCACTGCCTCTCTCCGCCCCCCCCCCGGGGGTGGCCACGGCCGCAATCCCTTCTCCTCCATTCTCGTCTCGGGATTTTGGGCACTCATGCACATTTCCCCAGCGTGAGTTTTAAGCCTCCGGGTCCAGGTTTCGAGCTGCAGTCAACTACAGAGGAGTCCAGTGACGTAACCATTATGCCATCTGCTGGTCCCAAGATGCGTCTCAGTTGTAGAGACAATAAAACATGAAAATAAGTTGGTTAGTGTTCCAGCAGATGAGAGATGGTGTCCTGTCCAGTCCCGAGAGCAGGAGGGACCTTCGTTCCGGCTGGCGGCATCTCGTCAGTGCCCAGGGTAGCGCCTGGGGCGTAGGAAGTGCTTAGTGTTAATACACCACGTGACTGAGCCTCCGAGGAAGCAAAGACTTGAGAAAAATGAATGAGAGAAAATGTGGCTGAGGAGATGATAGAGGAACAAGATGTAAAGGTGGGGCCCAGAATTAACCAAATGAAGGAGTAACCGAGGGTGTCCATGAATGGGGAGAATGCCAGCTGGGCGGCTGGGCGGCTGGCCACACATGGCTGCTACACGGATTCCCTCCCTCCTGGCTCCCTGTGCCCCACCCAGGGAAGGTGAAGGAGATGAGCTACGACCCCCAGGCCAAACTGCAGCGGCTGCAGGAGTTCTGGATCAGTCAGGCCAGCGCAGAGCAGCGCAAGGGCCGAGCGGGGCGCACTGGCCCCGGGGTCTGCTTCCGTCTCTATGCCGAATCGGACTACGATGCCTTTGCTCCGTATCCTGTCCCAGAAATCCGGAGGGTGGCCCTGGACGCGTTGGTGCTGCAGGTGAGGCATGGGCAGGGGAGGGACCACCCTGACTGCTGGTGCCAGAAGCAGCGGGGCCATTTAGACAGGGCACCTCAGGGTGGAGTGCCGGAAAGGGCAGAGCTGGCCATGCCCCTGAGGGGAGCTCTGCCCTCCCAGAGGTCAGAACCCTAGTTGAGGGGAGAATTGTTCCTCAAATGACAGGGTCATGGGAGGAGCCCCGTCACCTGTAACAGGAAACCCAACAGGAAGTGGCTTTTAAAATAGGATTTCTCAATCCATTTGTGTCATGACTTGTTCTCATTAGTCAGTATAGCTTGGGTCAGGCTGCCGGGCAGACAGACCTGACCACGGTTCAGGCCTCAGTTGGCAGGCAGTCCCCTTTATCAGGTCCCAAGCTGCGTTTCTCTTGTGGCTCCATCAGCTCCCTGGGACCTTTCTAACATCCGCGTCCACCCAGTCGGGAAGAGCATGGGAAGTGAACACAGGAGGGGCCAAGCCAGCCCTGCCAGCAGTGTGCTGCCCTGATTCCCCTTCCCCTGGTTAGAGCTCAGTCAGTGGCTGCACCATGGGGGAGGGAGGCTGGGGTGCAGTGTCTGCACTCAGGAATGAGCAGTGAGTGAGGTGGGGACCCCTGGTGGCACGTGCCCCAGCTCGCGTATGTGAGTGTGGGAGTAGCACACACTGGTGCCCCGCGGATGGGTGCTGCACGCTCATGTTTTCTTTTCTGTTGACTTCATTTTGATTTTTTTGAATGCTGGTTGAGCCCAGGTGGCGATGTGGTGGTGAAGCCACTGGACCCCACATGGCTGACTATGCAGTTTGAGTCCCAGATCCAGTGGCTTGAAAAACACAGTGGACGTGTGTGTGTGCCCAGGATCCCAGGAGAATGGAGGAGAAGGGATCGTGGTGTGGCCATCCCTCCTGGGGAGGGGGCTTTCCCACTTTCCCTCTCACTGTCTCTCTGTCTCTCATAGCACACGCCCTATGGCAAAAACCTAAAAACAACAACCACCCCCAAGGTAGGAAAGTTCTCGCTTGTTGAAGTGGATCAGAGATACCACAAAAGACCTTAGTCCTGTCTGTTTCCAGCCTCAGTCTCTGAGCTGCTGTTCTAATGATGGGGGTGATGGCGGAAGACACTTGCCGGCTCGCTGTGGGCCAGGCACCGGTCTGAGTGTCGGCTTGTAGACCCGTTGGGATCCCCACAAGCTCTGTAGGGCAGGCAGTCTGATGACCTAATTGATGTGTGAGGAGAAGGATGCATGGAGAAGTAAAGCGATGCCACAGGTCACAAAGCTAGCAGGAGTCAGAATTCCACGTGAGGCCATCAGGTTCCAGAGCGGGCGTCGTGAGTGCCACCTGGCTCTGGCAGCTGTGCATATCACCTCCCCCTCTAGTGTCCAGAGGCAGACTCAAGGCTGTGGGAACCGTTCTCATGAGCCTTCTGGCCAGTGTCCTACCCTAACCGTCTGCAGAACTTGTCACGTGTGCCTGTCCTGTGTGCAGTCCTTGTCCCAGGACCTGGCAGTGCCCGGCAGGGTAACTGCGGTGCTTCTCAGCCCCAGTCACATAGTGACTGCCAGTGCTCTGCCCTGCTCCCAGCTGCTAATGCGGAAGTGAGCGGTCTCCCGACATCACCCAGGCGTGGTCAGCAGGTGGACAGCGTGTCTTGTGCTCTCCAATCAGGGCCAGGTGAACAGGCCATCTGTGCTTTCTTCTCGCTCTCTTGTAGTCATGCGAGCCACCAGGCCAGCCCTTCCTTCACCCAGTTACCACACAGGAGGGGGTGAGTGTGTGCTGTCACGTGTCTTCCCCACCACCCACTGACCACTGCAGCCTCTGAATTGACAGAGGGCATGTGTGCTCACCCCAGAGACAGGAATTACCCTGCAGTGGCACAGGGTCATGCCGTAGACCTTTTTCCTCTTATTTCTCCACCTCATCAGGATCTAGGGCATGCGTGCACACGCCTCTGGGGTGTTTTTCAAGCCATCAGGGAGAGGATTCGAACCAGGGCCAGCCATGTGAGATCTGGCTCCCAATACACAGTGCTTAACCACTGCACTACAGGGATAGCCCAGTCTACTCCCCATCTCAGCCAGCCTTGATCACGGGCACTCCTGATGCACTGAGCAAGGCCTCTGGATTTGAACTGGGAACCTTCTCATGTGGGAAGGTTCATTCTTCCCTTGCAGAATGTCACATTGTGCCACTGCACCACTGTCTGGCTGCAGATCAGGGTTCTTTTGTTTGGACGGGAGATGGATACAACTCTAAGTATCAGAGGCAGAAAAATGGGTTTTATCAATTCGTGTATCCCTGTAGGGGTGGGGGGCCTGTTAGCTGGGAAGCAGTCCAAGGATTTCTCTGTCTGCTGTGAATGGGCTAATGTCCAGGCCGTGGGAAAATCGCAGTGGCAGTTCTGGGTTTCCCTTCTGGCCACTCGCAGCCGGAAAGGGTGCTGGAACCGCTCATTGTCTGCAAAGTCTCAGGAGTGGATTCTGATTGGCTCAGCTCAGTCATGTGCTCGTTCCAGTCAGTTGCCCGGACCAGGGGCTAGGGAAGCATGATTGGTCCAGTCAGGTCATGCACTCCTTTTCCATAGTTAGGGTCTGGGGAAAGATGTGCTGGGCAGGTGGACATGGCCTCTGCACAACGGGCCTTGAAGTGTCGTGAGCTTGTGATCCTCCCCCCAAGCCTCCCAGTCCCACCCCAGTGCCCTGCAGTGGTTCCTGTGTGGCCTTATCCCAGGGTTTTGGTTCTCGTTCTAGATGAAGAGCATGAGCGTGGGGGACCCCCGAACTTTTCCGTTCATTGAGCCGCCCCCACCAGCCAGCCTGGAAACTGCCATCCTCTACCTCCGGGACCAGGGGGCCCTGGATGCCTCAGAGGCCCTCACCCCCATCGGGTCCCTGCTGGCCCAGCTGCCCGTGGATGTTGTGATTGGTGAGCACCGCCCCCGCCCTGGGTGATCACACAAGGCAGTGGGAGCAGCTGTGGAGCCCTGCTTGCTCCAAGTGACCCACAGGCAGGTGGGTCTCTGCACAGGCGCTGTGCACCTGGCACTGGTCTAGGGACACAGCAGTGGACAAAGCAGACCGGCTGTCTGTCCTGGGGGGCTGACGTGCTAGTGGGGGAGGGAGCAGTGACCAGGAGAGTGAGGGAAACACGCGTAGGTTAGAGGGTGCCAGGTGTTGTTACGGAGCAGAAGTGAAGCGGGGGGTGGGCCTGGGACGGCTTGAGGGTGGTGGAGAGCTGCAGTCTTGGTGAGGCCTCCAGACAGGCCTGTCGTCGCCATCTGCAGGGAAACACCTGTGCAGAGAAGTGGGGTTAAGGGAAGGACCCATGCAGTTCCCAGAGACGTGCTCTCCAGTTGAGTTCTAGCGATGTCATGTGAGCCCTGATATGTCATTTAGAACTTTCTAGTAACCACGTTAACAAAGCAAGAAGGCGGCGCAGCTGCGGTGGTGCGCTGCTGCCACTGCACGCAGGCTGGGATGCACGGGGCCAGGCCCTGGTCCTGAGGCCGGTGCAGTGGCACCCTGGGGTACCAAGGCAGGAGGAATATGATGTGGTGAGACTCTGAAAAACCATAGGAATTGGGTGGCATTGACTTTGATACCATCTTTTTTGTTTGTTTGTTTAAGAGAGATTTTAGGTATAGGGTGTGCATACCCTCCAGAGAGACAGAAAATGAGAAATCACCCCACCCCCCCAGGGTCCCTTCTCCTCCAGTCTCCTCTCAGGATCTTGGACATACACACACGTGTCCTGTGTGAGTTTTAAGCCTCTGGATCCAGGACTTGAACCACGGTCAACTACATGGGAGTCCAGCAATGTAACCATTATGCCATCTACTGGTCCCAAACCATATCTTATTTAACATAACATAACCGAAACATAATTTCAACATGGACTCAGTATAAAAAAAGTACTGTGGTATTTGGTATTATTTTCTTATTCTAAGTCTTGGAAACCCGGTAGTTTACACTCACAGCACATCTCGGTGCAGACCTGCCGTGTTTTGTGTGCTCAGTGGCCCCCCGTGGCCTGTGGCTGCCATGTTGGGCAGAGCAGATGGGCACTCCTTGCAGAGGGAGCAGCTGGCGCTAAGGCCCTGGAGTGGTGACGTGCCTGGGGTGTTGGGGAACAGCGAGGAGGCCAGTGGGCTGCAGCACAGCGGAGCGAGTGGGCGGCGCAGGGGCAGCTGAGGCCGGCACTCAGTGTTCGCTCTCTGCATTTTGAGCACCTGCTCTGGCCAGGCCCTATTCTGGTGCTGGAGGTCCAGGGCCGAAGGAAGCAAAAGTGCCTCGCAGTGCACACAGGGGACAGTGAGCATGATAGATGCACCAGATGCGTGGTGTGGCATTTGGAGACCTGCTGAGGGGAAGCATGGCGGGTGGCGGTGATGGCATAGCTGGGCAGGGAGCAGCCCCGAGGGCAGCCAGGCCTCTTCCCAGAGACAGTGCCATCTGACCAGAGCCCTGACGGAGTGGAGGGCAGCTCTTCCCTGGCCCTGGGTCAGAACTGGACGGGAGACTGAGGGGTGGGGTAGGCCTGGTTTCACAGCCAGAGAATCGAACATTGGCCTGCTGGGTTGCTGAGGGCCAGGACGGGTGGGTCTGCAGAGCAGTGGAGTGCGGGACGTTTCTCGTGCCAGCCCTTGGGTTCGGGTCCTCAGGGACAGTCACAGACAGATGGTGCTCCTCGATCCCTGGTGTGTGTAGTCAGGAATAGGGGGTCCCCTGAGGGGGCCAGGGACAGTAGGTCCCCTGCCTTGTGCTTGTCGTCGCTGACCCCTGGGACAAGCACAACCACTGTGGACGAGGGCTTGAGAGAACACAAGGCCACGTACCCTGACTGCACTCGGGTGACAGATGAGACGGGCCCTCTTCCTGGGGTTCCCTGCTGTCCTGGGAGGGACAGACAGGTAGAGGTCCCAGGGCCACCTGAGTTCCCTGCAGCTCAGACCCTTCCCTGCGTCTCTCTCGTGTGCTGTCCCCAGCTCACCCTGGGGCCCCGTCCCTGTGGTCTTGTGGATGTCGAAACTGGCTGCCTCTCCCTCGTCCCTGAGTCATCCCCGCTGCTCCCTCCCTCCCCGTGAGGAGTTTGCTGACAAAGGCCTCGGTCTCCTGGCTCAGGACGTGGTGTCTCCATCACCGGTCCGCGGCCGCACCCCATCCACCCCGCAGGGCCACCACAGCACCTTCAGTCTGTTAATGCCGCCATGCCCCCCCATTGTAGCGCCACGGAGCCCGCGTGGGCAGGAGGCTGCAGCTCCGATGCCGGGCCTCCCCAGCTAAGAAGGTGGTTCTGTTTGCTTTGGAAGGAGACAGGGCCAGAGCAAGGAGAGTCAGAGCCAAGAAGCAAAAGGATGTTCTGTGAGCACTTGCTGGGGCCAGCAAAAGGTTTTAGGGACTTTTTATCATTTCACCCCCACCTGCAAGGACAGGCCCCCATCGTGTCTGGTGTGCAGATGAGGACACGGAGGCTGACCCCACCCAGGAGGGGACAAGCACCTGGAGAGTAGATGTCAGTGCCGGTCCAGGTGGTGCTAAGGCCTCATGCGAGTTACCTCGGGGTGGGGGGACTCCCTTTCCCAGCGGCCCAGGGTCACACAGTGGCAGACCTGGGAGGCAGAGGCACGGATGACCCCCTACCAGGCGGTGCTGGCCCCGACAGCTCAGTGGCCGTCCTCCATGCCAGGCCACGTTCCGAGCCTTCACGGGGTGAAGCACAGGGGTTAGAACTCAGGGCTGCCCAGCGAGGACAGGCAGGGGCCGCCGTTCCAGATGGAGACAGGCACAGCGAGTGAGGGGCCGGCCAGGCGGCAGCTCGGGTTCTGGGACAGGAAAGGCCTGGGTGACCAGCCCCGACCTTGCTTTATACCCACTTCGTTGTGCAAGGCCAGCTGTGTGACGGGCACAGGGAGAGAGGGAGGGCGTCAGACACGCAGCCGATCGGTCACAGGGCGGGCGGGCGGGCGGGCATCCTGGGAGGACT